CCGGCGCTGGTGGGTGCGCAGTGCTCAAATGCCATCTAGTGGCACCAAGCACGGGCTGGGGGTTTCGAGGGGCCCGTGGTGGGCTGGCCGAGGGTCCTGTGGGGACCCTGGGGACACTTGGCTTGTCTGGCTTTGCAACCCAACAGCGTCCGTGGGACCCTCTGAGGGGGGACAGCAAGAGTTACATGTTCAATGTTAAATGTTCAAGTGTAATGAGGAGATGAGACGTGAGCAGGAGATGATGAAACACATCCAAAGAGATTTCGGGACAGGGGTTAGGGCAGAGCAGTGAAACCTCAGCACAGAAACCTCAGCACCACCCAGAGCCAGGGATGCTGCCTTCCCCTGCAGCATGCACAGCTCACACGGAGCAGCCCAAATCCTGCTCTTCACTCAGCAAGAAGTCATTTCTGGGTGGAAAACAAAGATACCCAGGGAGGATAACCCTAAATGCAGTGAGAGCCACTGCTCTGCCCGCTGGCTGCGCTGTGCAGGGACCCCAACCAGCCAGGGCTGGGGGTCCGGCTGACCCCCTGCATTCCTGTGGTCACTCCCCTGCCAGCTGCTCCCAGTAAGCCTGGCTGACAGCCCCTGAAATCCTATTAGCCGACTTTCAGGAGAAATAAAGTTAATCGCCTGCTGCAGCTGCTCTTCCTCCTTGCCCTTCTCCTCCTCCTCCCAGCGCGGACTCGCGGGGGCGGCCGGGCCGATGCTGCGAGGCCGCTCCGGCTCCTGCGGCTGGGACTGAGCCCACGGCCCTGCCCGGGGCTGCGGGGCGGGGAAGGGCAGGACGGAGCCGAGCTGAGCCGAGCCGAGCCGAGCCGAGCCGAGCCGTGCCGGGAGCGATGCCGCTGCAGACGGAGATCCTGCGAGAGGTCTGGGCTGCCGACAGGTCAGGGTGGGATTCCCAGGGTGGGATTCCCAGGGTGGGATTCCCAGGGTGGAATTGGCAGGGTGGGATTGGCAGGGTGGCATTGGCAGGGTGGGATTGGCAGGGTGGGATTCCCAGGGTGGGATTCCCAGGGTGGGATTCCCGGTGGGATTGGCAGGGTGGGATTCCCAGGGTGGGATTGGCAGGGTGGCATTGGCAGGGTGGGATTCCCAGGGTGGGATTCCCAGGGTGGGATTCCCAGGGTGGGATTCCCAGGGTGGCATTGGCAGGGTGGGATTGGCAGGGTGGGATTCCCAGGGTGGGATTCCCAGGGTGGCATTGGCAGGGTGGGATTCCCAGGGTGGGATTCCCAGGGTGGAATTGGCAGGGTGGGATTCCCAGGGTGGGATTCCCAGGGTGG